CTGATCAGTTTCAGCAGCAGCTGACTTGGGGACGCCTGGGTTTCTTAAGTTGAATCTGTATGTAAGTCAGAACTGGTGTCCAGATTCAGCCGCGGTTGAAATGATCAGTTTCAGCAGCGGCTGACGCCAGTTCCGACTTACATACAGATTCAGCTTAAGAACAAACCTACAGTCCCTATCTTGTACGTAACCCGGGGACTGCCTGTACTCTATAGAGCCGAATTAGGGGGCTGCCTGGCTGGAGCAGGTCCCGCCCATGGCAGGCGGGCACTCTACTCCCCTCCCCCCACTGCATTTAAGCGGTTAAGTGGTTAAACATAACATGTAACTAGTTAACTGATTAAATGGAATTTTACATCCTTAGCCTAAATGTGCATTTATTACATTTTAAAAACCTACCAGCTCTATTGCCACATCAAGCCAGAAAAGGAGGTAAGTAGCTGACAAAAAGGATCACCGATTAAGGAAGTGCAGCAAAAATCTCATTTGCAAGTCAGTTCTACATAAGCCATAATAATTCTATGCAGTAACATTCTAGATTTGTGTGTCTGTGCTCCCAAACCCTGTCCCCTCCAATCGTGTGTGTATGTACCTCTCCCGCTACTAAAGGGAAGGTGTGGGACTGCACCCTCAATTCCCATATAGTGCATATCTACTACTAGTACCCATGGTGGATGAAATATGAGACCTATTTACGAATAGGAGATCCAAGTATTCTAGAATGGCAAGTACTACTGTATAAGCCAGGGGCGGGCCAGATCTGGCCCACTAAGCCTTTTAATCCAGCCCGCAGTCTGCACATGTGGCACAGAGCAGCTACATGATACTCAAAGCAGCTGTTTACTCTCTGTGGCTCCATGCAACACACGAAGGAGAGGGGAAAGCTTCATGGACTGCCCCCACCCCTAGCGCAATCGCTCAGCTCCTACAGTCTAGAAACCAGCCAATGGAAGCTGAGAGATTTTGCCAAGGGCAGGGACAGTGTGCAAATCCCCTCCACCCGCAGCAGAGAGCCACATGGAACCACCAGCCACTTTGAGAGGCCAGGGTCCTGCTTAGCCACTCTCTGGGAGCTGCTTAAGTAAGTGCCTTCAGACCAGAGCCTGCCTTAGGCACCCCAAAACTTTCCACAGATCCTGCACTCCCTCTACACCTCTCCTCCAGGCCAGAATCCTCTCTTGCACCCATAGGCCCTCCCAGACCCTGCACCCCAATCCCATACCCCAGGTCACCACCCAAACTCTCTGCATATTTACCACAGTCTTAACTAGAATAATCAGCACTTAATTACATTTAATTCTGACACACAGAATTACATTCTTAGATTTGGACTATTATAGTTGGAGGGGTTTTTTTGAGGGGGAGAGGGAGAGTATAATTTAAAAAAAAGTGGGCTAGGTAATATTTATTGGACCAACTTCTTTTGGTGAATGAGACAAGCATAATGGTAAGTAGGAGGTTAGAACATTAAAAAATTGGCGACATTAGTGCCCCAAGTTATATATAAAAGTTTCCTAAACTAACTTGTTTCTGAAAAGAGACAATTAAAGGGTTCTTGCAGACATAGTACAGATCTGCAAGAAAAAATTCAGAGAGAACAAAGTTCCAAAAATTAAGTTTAAAGAAAGACTTAAATTTAGATTAACATGTTTTGAAATTTCAAAACTGATAGAAATCTGAAACTCATTCCCTCATTCCATATTTTAAACCCAGTTGTCTTAAAATAATTTAAAATAAAGCAATTAAGCTATTATACCAAAACGACGTTAAGCAGCATACAAAAATGATTACATTGCATCTTTACTCAAGGACTCAAGTTACGTGAATGAGTTTCTAAGCAAAGATTTAAAAAAAAAAAAAAAAGCAGGGAAAGGAATAAAAAAATTAGAATATTAAAAATGTGCTACAAAAGTCCCAGTGATACATTCCTGTTCCTAAAATTATATTCTTAGAAGCAGAAACTATCCAAAGCAAGAGACAAGCATCTACAGCAATAACAAGAGAAGTCCTGTAGCACCTTATAGACAAAGGGTATGTCCACACTTGCACTCTCTTTCGAGAGAGGGATGCAAATGAAGACATTCGAAATTGCAAATGAAGCCAAGATTTAAATATCCTGCACTTCATTTGCATAATCATGTTATGGCGCTATTTCAAAATACAAAATGCAGTGTAGATGCGGTTATTTCGGGAGAACACCCTTCTTCCAAAATAACCCTTCTTCCTCATAAAATTAGGTTTAACAGTTATTTCAGAAGAAGGGTGTTCTCCTGAAATAACCGCATCTACACCCTGTTTTGTATTTCGAAATAGCGCTATTTTGAAATACTGCCATAAAGCGATTATGCAAATGAAGCGCAAGATATTTAAATCCCAGCTTCATTTGCAATTTCAAATGTCTTCATCTGCATCCCTCTCTCAAAAGAGGGTACAAGTGTAGATATACCCTAACAGATTTATCGGAGCATAAGCTTTCATGGGCAAAGACCCACATTGTCAGATGCATGTAGTGGAAATTCCAAAAGGCAGGTATACAGGCACATGAAAAGATGGGAGTACCAATCAAATGCAGAGATAACCAGGTCAATATAGTCTGGGAGGATGTAGCCCACTTCTAGCAGCTGATGTGGAGGTGTGAACACCAAGAAAGGAGAAACGGCTTTTGTAGTTGGCTAGCCATTCACAGTCTTTGTTTAATCCTAAATTGATAGTGTCAAATTTGCAAATGAATCTGTTAGTCTATTACAGTGGTTCTCAACTTGTTTCAGTCCACAGACCACCAGGCTAATCAAAACATTTTTGTGGACCACCTCCAGCACATGTAGCACAGGACAAATGACACAGCAACCGCTCAGTAGCTACACTTATGCTCAGAGCTTCAGAAGGAAGTTACTGGCAACACAATGCGGTTGCGTCCTAGGTGACGGTATGGATGACGCGCCGCGTGCTTGTGAACACGGAGTAAAACAGCCTAACGGAGGCACCTGCTCACACCATGAGACTTTGGACAATGTTCCTGTGGACCACCGAAAAAGTCACCATGGACCACCAGTTGAGAACCATAGGTCTATAAGGTGCCACAGGACTTCTCATTGTTTATGCAGATTCAGACTAACACAGCTACCCCTCTGATACTTATTTACAGTAATGTGATTAGAAATTATATTTTTTTGGAAAATTAAGTTATCAAATCTGCCTACAGAGGTTGCTTTGCTGATTTCCCTCTTTCTTCCTCAGCCCTGAATAATTTTTCATGCAGTTCATTTAAAGTGGCCTGAAATAAGTGATTAGGTCTTCAATTTTATCCTTAACAAACATAGCCACACATTATATGGCACACTTTTGAACAACAGATTCCCACTGTGCTTCTACACAGTGTTTTATTTCCCCACATGCATCACATTCCTTTCCCCTGCCCCCTTTTCTGTAGATTTAAGAATTTGGTTTGAAATACATCTGCAGCAGGGAATTTAGAAGTTAAGATCTACGATAAAGAGAGACAAGCAACTGAAAATAAGAGGCCTGATTCTTGACTGCTCTGCACCTTGTTTAGTCATTTATAATAGTCAGTGCAGAACTCTACCAAATGAGGATGACAACATTTTAAGCCCATTTTGCACTGGTGTAAATGACTACACAAAGTTCAGAGCAACCACAAATCAGAACACTTCAAATAAAAAAATTAGACTTAGCTTATGTATTCTGGTCAAAAGGAGCTTTTCAGACACTGTTGGAGTGTAAGGAATGAAAAAACACTGAAAATGCTAGAAGATTTACCCGGCATTGCTCGGGTCCTTAACTCAAGTAAGTGGTTTTTCTTCATTTAAATCATTGTTCTTGGGGGTGGGGCTGGGGATGAAGTGTTCAGTATCCAGTCTGCACTGAAGAGAGAGGACAACCCCAGCCCTCTCACCAGAGCAGGTTGGAGCCAGGTGAGAAGCACCTATTCATGCCTCCTGCAGTGGGCCCAGCCAGGGGAGGGGTGCATGTCCCCTGTCTGGGGGACAGATACACAAATAGACAAGTTCTCTGAAATAAGAGTAGATAGATGTCCCTTTCTCCACTCCCCCCTGCTGGCCCAACAGGGTTACAGCTGTCCTGGTCCCCATCTCTGGCCTTTTGCTGTCCCCTCTGTGGTCATTTTGCAGTATAACTCCCTCCTGCCAGATCTCTCCCTTTGATTGTTTCTCATAAAATGGAAACTGAAGGCACATCAGAGTGTCCTGGCACAAGCAAACCCTGACCTTGCTTTAAATTATAAGAGAAAACTGCCTACCAAATTTTGTGGTCCTAGCTCTTACTGTTTAGAAAGTTCTTGAACAAATGGACTCTGAGACAGACAAACACACATTTCTAAAATATATAGTAAGAAGATATGATTTCTTCAGCTATTCAAAGGCACTTACATTTCCTGCAGTAAATGTGAACATTGGAAGAAATATGATGGCTAGCTTTGCTTCAGGCATCTTCGTACATACTGCAGCAAGAACAGTCATTATAGCTCCTGACTGAAAATACATTAAAATATATGACATTGAACTGAGATCTTACACAAGGGAAAAATCATTTTTTCAGTATGTGAACCTATTTTTCTTGCTGCCTTTCTTTCCCAAGGCCGCCCTATGACAAATTCCAAAGCACAAAGCAGCGAAAGAATTGAAAAAATTGCTTCCTATGCCCTCACTGGTTGACCTCTAAAAATAAGTAAGCAACTTGTAACCTCTTCTGAAAACTTTGCCACTTGTAACCATCATAAACAAACTAATGTTAGTATAGTGCTTTTCATCCCAAAGAACTTCAGAAATATAAATCTAGCACTGCTGAAATATAGTTGAACACAAAGTGAAAGCAACTGCTTAGTTTAAAGAAAACTGGAACAAAACTCCTGCTTTAACACAGGATCTTCCAAATCCATGAATAGACAGGACCTTAAACTGTATGCAGGTTTGCATGGTAATATTAACATCTGATCAGCGAGAAAGTTACTCTGTTGCAAATACAAATAATTTGCAGAATATGTGAACAGGATGGCATTCGCTGAAATTTAACTTATCAATTGTAGCTGTAGCTGTCCTACAAGTTCCTCTCTGTATTTGAAAAACAAAAATATGGGTTTTATTAAAAGCTATATCATTAAATGTATAAAATCTCCAAAACACATAACATTTACTCCAGCCATACATTGATTTTTACCTTACTGTAAGCTGAATACTTTAAAACATACCATGCTTTGATAGCAAACATTTTCATTTAGAAAAATGAAGCAGAAGAGAAAATGAACATACCACTCTTGCCAACAGATTGAGTACGCTCAGGCAAAAGATTTATATTTTTGTGGATTAGTGATGTAAATGGCTAATTGAGTAGTTGACTAAGCACATGCTTATTGGGTAGTCGAGTGACTACTCAACTAGTCTTCCTCCGCCCCCTGCTGCCTCTATCAGAGGCAGCAAAGGGGAAGGAACAGGAGCTAGTGCTAAGGGGAGCTGGCTTAAAAGCCTGTTCCCCCTGAGCACTGTCTCCCCAGCGAGAGGCACAGGCACAGCGGGGGACCAGGCATAAGCCAGGAATCAGCAGTCCCAGCTCGTGCCCAGTACCCTGCTGCACCTCTGCCTTTTAAATGTAGTTAAGAGCCAGGCTGTTACAACATTTAAAAGGCAGAGCTGCAACAGAGTTAGCTCCCAGGGCCAGAGCTAACCCTGCTGTGGCTCTGCAGTCCCTCCCACCCCCCCAATATCAACTAAACGAGTAGTCAATGGAAATTCAACTGACTACTCGATTAGCTGATTAAACGAAACTGAACAACCCTATTGTGGATAGGAGACACTTTGCTAATATCACTTATTAATTTTTACAAGTGTCCCTGATCATGAGTTCTTCAAAAAGCATACAATTTTCAATTAGAGCATAATTATGCATAACTGCCTCATACAACAACATTTATAAGACAGCGAATTCCATTCTACAACTTATCTGCTCAGTGACAAGAGATCTTGCTGTTAAGCACCAATTTACACCCATTAGCATTTAGCAGGATAGTTCTGAGCTGCTGATGCCAAAGAAGAAAGGCCCAGTTCTTGCACAGGATTTACTTGTTGATTTTTCTTAATGCTGGTAAATCCTGCCTTCTTCCCAAGCCAATATATCGCTAATTTCTAAACAAGCTGTTGAATACAATGCTTTGAAACTGGTTTTAGCAATTCAAAAGGATATTATTGAGGATTTTAAAACACATGCTACTCACAGCTCCAAGTGATGGTTCAAATCTTCTAGCAGTTACTTTACTGACGTAACTGACAAAAGAAGAGATAACACCTAAAAAAGGTAAAATTACTATTAGAAACCATGCAGAGAATGTAAGTGAGGGGCAGAAGATACAAAACATTGTGTCAACTGTTGCATGAGTTATCGTACATGGTAATTTTTTGAGGTGGAGGACGTGGAGACTAGAAACAGGTATAGTTTTGCTTGTCATCTCAGGGATGTGGTAAGACAATGTTAAAAATTAATGGTTCAATAATGAAGCACGACTTTAACAATAGGTTTGAACTTTGAAAGCATAAAACCAAATGTCCCGAAGTGATCAGTGTTCTGTTCTGCAGTGGCTCTTTAGGGTAGGGACCATCTTTTCATTTTTTGTTCCGTGCCTCACACAATGAGGTCCTAGTCCACGACTAGGGCTCCTACGTATTATGCAACAGAAATAAATAATTAAAATAAGCACTCGATAAAACAGCCTATGAGAATAAAGAATCAGCGTCTGCAGCCATAAACAGTTGTTTATCTTTCTCACTTCCTACCTGCAAAAATATGGTCACACATTTCTTTAAAGTATTAATCTTTTGGAAAAATTACCTGCAGAGAGATACACTGCTACAAACTGCTCACGTCCCAAAAGAGACACTATACTTGAAGAAAATGTCCACAACACATACATATTTGCAGCCATGTGGAAGAAAGAGAAATGACTAAATGTAGACAGCAGCATAGGAGAGCAAATGTTTTCTACAGGAAGAAGAAAACCAGTAGTTAATAAACAAATACGGGCAATTTTAGTATTATCATCACTGCATAAGTAAGAGAAAGTGTAGTAATCGGACTTCTTAAATATTTGTATAAACTTTAAATATGTAAAATGCAAGGAGTGTAATGAGTATCACAGTGGTGACTGCTGAAGCATGCAACATTTTCTTAGAGATTTGTGACCCAGTACCCATGTGAAAGTACATTGACAGTTTCCTTGTGGGGAAATTATATGGATTTTTCAAAAGCTTCTCTTTGGAGAAAGCCACTTTTCTTCATTATGCAGGTTTGGGCCAATTATTACTGCTTAGGTTAAGACAAAAAGGAAAATCTTAGCTTTCATTTACTTTTTTTCTAGTCCTATTCATTGCAGTGGTAAAGGTAAATAAATAGAAACCAATCTCTAGGTTCAAATTCTGAAAGCATCAGAGGACTAAGTCAACTGGGAGTCCAATTTACGGAAAATCAGTTAACTGCCTATTTCCCTTAGGCTTTCAAAACTGCAGCCTAATGGCACAAACATCTGGGTTCTACTTTTACAGCAGGAGTGAGGGGATGGGAAGTACCAGAAGAGTCTTCTCCCTCACGTGTCTTCCACATCCCTCTCTCTTAGTTTGGAAATGGACCTCAACTGCTTACACTTTTAGGTCGTACTGATTGGTTTCTATCTGTTAATATTTTCAAGGCTATTTTACCATGAAAGCTGAGATCCTCCTTCATTGGAGAAAAGTCCAGCTCTGCAGATAAGGACTTGCATGAACCCCCATGATCACTAGTGAGTATATAATTAATGTTATATTGTGATAAATGAATGTACACCAATCTACAGGTGTATTGGTAACAACCTCCTTTGCACTCAGGCCACTAGTTCTTATAAGCTGGGAATATTAATGATCAAAAAGAAAGAAAAGCTTCAAAACAGTTTTTTAAAGAATAAAAACTGTAGGTTTCCTCTCAAAAGACCAGGACTATGACTTCATTCCACTATGAGAAACCCCCTTTGCAAAAACATACGCCATTTGTTGTTCAGTATGGCACACTTGAAAATACTGGCTCATAAAATCTTGACATTATGATCTCCAGAAAAGCTATTTTGGGGGAAAACTTGTAAGTTTCTATAAATGTATTATGTACAGTTTATTCCTCCCGAAGTCTACCTATTCAACTGGACAGATTTATTTGGGATGGCTGGCATAATTTTCTTTCAGCTTCATTTTAAAGCCTTTACCATACTGGTGTGTATTCTCTCTAGACCCACCCACACTCAAAATTCAGATACATAATTAATGTACACTTACTAGAGGCTGGATTAGACGTGAAATAAGTAACCATTGTCCGCTGCAAAGAAGGGATTTTCCACAAACAAAACACAAAGACATTTGCAGCTATGATGCCTAGTAAGAAAAAAAATCCAATTTACAGATGAAGTATGAATATGCAAGAAAAAAGCTCATGGTAGCAAAATTTCAGAATCATGTTTACAACAGCATCCCAATTTCAAATGTGCTATTTTTATTTTCTGATGGATTTTAAGAAAAATGAACTGGAATTCAGAAATCTTTGCACAATGAAAACTCTTAACAGAAGTCACATTTTGTATATGTTCCCAAGTTGCTTTAGTTACACAAACATACTTTCCAGTGAGTCACTACCAAGAAATCTGCATTAACTACAATTTATAAATTGTTGTTTACTTACTAAGTTTTAATTCTGATCACATTCTAATTTAGGTAAGAATGCTAAATATCTGAGAGCAGACAGATGAAAGATTACATCCTTGCAAGTTTTCAAATACTTTGCACACTCCTAAAACCAAATTAAAATATAGCTGTCTCTGCATAAAGCTGTTTTTACAGATCTGAATTTTATATATATATGATAAATCTGGCATTACTGGGGAAAAAGAGATCATTTATTTCCTTGTAAAAGCTTAGATTCCTTATTTTCATGATTTATTTGATGAACTCAAACTATGAAAATACTTTTTCCAAGGATATTTGTATCTGAAATTCTCTCTTTAGAATCTGCATAACCTATTTTCTTTGGGTACGTCTACACTGCAACACTATTTCGAAATAACTAGCGCTATGCCAAAATTACTGTGTAGACACCGACTAAGTTGACAGTTATTTCAAAATAGTGTCAAAATACCGTCAAGTTGGAGGACTTCTTACTCTGACTTCTGTAACCCTCACTGTACAAGGAATAAGGGAAATCGGAGGAAAGGTGCTCAATTTTGAAATAAGTGCTGAGTAGGCACTCCCTATTTCGAAATAAAATACGCAATTGACGTAGCTCAATTTGCGTAGTTTATTTCGAGTTAAACCCTGCAGTGTATACACACCCTTTGAGTTGCTTTTAGCTTTGAGAGAGCTATGCTATGCTATGCTGTGGTGCTTTCTTATTAACCAAAAATCTCAATGTGCTCAACAATACCTAAGATTGTAGAAGATCCTGGCAGAGAATTTAAAAAAAAAAAAAAAAAAACACACGCACACCCCCACAAACCACACCCTAATCTGTTTTAGTGCAACATGGCAAGTAAGTATGTTTGAAAGGTTTCATTGTATATCAGTTACATTCCTATGTAATAAAAAGGCCCTACTTCTGTAGCATTAGGCTTCCATATCAATTTTGACAACGGAAGCTCTGGGTGGCTGCCAGCAGTGGAAAGTTGCAGAAAATAACAGTGGACTTAATTACTGTAAATTATAAGATCCAGTATTACTCTTCTACAATTTTCCATGACTTATCTGCAACTCAGCCACAATTCTTTGACAATCATCCCACAATTCAATAAGAGCAATCTAGAATATTGTATATACCCAGCTGAGTATTTTTTTCTACATAAATATGTATTTTATGATAAATGAAAACACTAAATATTTAGGCTCTAATATAATTAATAGAAATCCGTTCAGGAACTCAGGAAATATTTTTGCATACAACATATATAACAGAGCAAGATATACCTAATTTATGAGTTAATGTATTTTTCAAAATTTTCTCATTAATCTGAATTGCCATGTGAGTGGTCTATCAATGGGATTTGAATAATTCTGTATTAAGCAGACTATGTAATCTCCAATTAAATATAAATACCTGTGTATCATGCACCAAAATCTGATACACAAGTTAGCTACCTTTTATTTGCAATATTGAGTATGCAGTCTTGACATGTTAACAGGAAGCACCGTGTTCATGGTGCAACACCATCACTGAGAAATTACAATACAGGTGGAACCTCCTAAATCTGGGACTCTCTGGTATGGGAACTGGGCAGCCCCAAGCTGGGGAACTCCGGGGAATCCCCAGAGGTAGCAGCCAGGATGTTGGCTGAGAACCACAGGGAAGCCCAGCCGTAGTAGGTGGACAGCAGGGTGGGGAGCCCCAGCCAGTTCAGCACTGGCATGGTGGGGAGCCCTAGCCTTGAAAGACCTAGGGAGAGAAGCCAACAGCAGAGCAGCCAAGAGGGGAGCACTGACCTCCCCTGGTCTGGCAAACTCCCCGGTCTGGGACTGCTCAGGTTCCAAGGGTAATCAGGGAGGTAAAACCTGTACATTTCCATTGTTTCTGATTATGGTGCATAAAACTGAATAATATTCCTTGGATGACAAAGAATATTTCCAGCAAAAGGAAACTCTCCCTCTCATGAGAAAGCTGTTAATTTGAAGGACTAGTAATATACTTTGAAAAGCAGTACTATTACAAGGTCTGGCAAGATTGTAGAAATCTGTTGTTTTTGAAAGGTCCTCATGCCAATCTTTACTCAACTTCTATATATGTAGCAGAAGGAAAATTCTAAATCTGCACAATATTCCAAACAAGTGAGTGGAAATTTCAATTTAATGTACAAGAAATATTTTCTGTGAGAAGGAATGAGTAGCAGAGGCAGATGGGGGGAATGCAAATAGCATTTACGTACACAGATTTGCTTTGTTTCTAACAATCAGTAAGCATGGTATGAAAGCCATCTATTGTGACATACTGTACCTGTTTGCCATAATTCTCTTCCTGTGAATGTCTAATACTTGTAAGCTAACACAAACCTGTCACTGTCCGCTGACCCTCACTCAGGCTATTCCACCACTTGTTAACCTAAAAGAGAATAAGTAATATTCACAGAACTCCCAAAATAGCCACAATCTCAGAACTAATCTGAAAGTCGCATAAGTTTAAACTTAAAACAATGAAAAAAAAACAAAGTTCTTTTTAACAGAAGGAAGGGGGGTTGGGGAATATAAGTTTAGAGTATTTATAAGATTTAAAATATATTTTATGGAAAGTTATTTCCTGTTCATGGGTGTGTTTGTTTTTTTAATTTCCCCTTTCTGTGAAATATCCTGTTACACCAAAAAATCCAATAGTCACATGTAAGGATGTCAACATGTAGTCAACTACACAATTAACCAATAAACCTGGGCTTATCGGTTAATCCTATTGACTACATGCATTCCCCCCTCTTGCTGCCTCTCACAGGCAGCAGCAAGGTGGGGGAGTAGGAGGGGACAGGAGCGTGAGGAGCCAGTTCCTCAGAGCCACTGCCCCCACCACTGCCCCCCACAGAGGCGGGGGGGGGGGTTGTAGCCAGCATGTGTGGGGAGCTAGCTATTAAGCTGGATCCCCATGAGCACTGGCTCCCACTCCCTCTCCCCCCCCGTATGTAAACATGTCACCGCTAAAATTTCTAGCAGTTACATGTTTACGCAAATACCCGATAGTTAACATCCCTAGTCACATGGTACAAAATGGCATAGCTCCACTAAATTCCAAGGAGCAATATCAGTTTATACCAATATTTATGTACTTCTCCTAGGCTGAATCTCTTGCTGATGGCTATTTGTGATCTCACATCACCCACCTTGGAGTCCACCTTTCTGCCAGAGGTCACTATTTGCAGAAGCTTGTAAGATATGGCATTCCCCCTTGTATCCAGCTCAGCCTATCCCCTCTGCATCTTTAAGAAATCCCTAACAAAATTTATTATGACCTATATCAGCTCATATTTATATGTGCTTTTCCAACCATCCCCGTATAATAGGGCCCCCTTTTTAGGTATTTTTTAAAAGCACTTTCCTTGATTGTAGTTATTACATACATTATTTCTATAGATTAAACAAAAAGTAACAAAATATGATTTCAGTGAACTGTTCATTTCAAAGTCATCACCCTGTCTTTCCCCAGTTGCTTAGTTATCTGGCATAGGCTCTAAATAAACCCACAACAGTATTAGTTCCCCATCAAGTCCTAACATGATTTTGAATAATACAAAAAGCTACATGCCTTTACTAATTAGCACTGGATGCTGAATTTAGGATACTTGTATTACCAGATAGAGATGGGGGCTAGAGATTTCTTTACAATGTATAACAACATGATAGCTTTGCTTATTATATTTTAGACAACTAATTAAAATCTATCAGATTGTGATGTAAACAAGTTTAGAACTAAACTTTCTAAATACTCTTAAAGGGCAGCTTTGATCTTATCTGCGATTCACATACACAGATGACAAGACATACATTTAGAGAGGTACAACAATGTATTCAACTCACATTATGGACACAGTGGGTTTGTCTGCATCCTGCTCAGGGCAGAGCCTATGCAGCTGAACACTCACTCCTATTAATACAGATTGAACCTCTCTAGTCCGGTACCCTCAGGATCTGACCGATGCCAAATCGGAGAATTTGCCGAACCACAATATTGCCTAGCAGCATTACCAACACTTCCACTGCTTATTGGGCTCTTAGAAGACATTTGGGGTAAATTAGAGCTAAACAGCACAGAACACTGAGACCTAAGATTATGGCTCTATAACTTTGTGGGACTGCAGAAAACTTGGCCACACCCATAAGTGAACACATGGCTAACTAAAATCATGCTGGACTATAGATGTTGTCAGATCAAAGTGCTGGACTAGAGAGGTTCAAAGCTGTAGTGGAAGAAACAGACCAGGACTTGAAATCACATCTGGTCTACCACACACCAGGAAATTAACTTCTCAGTGGACATAATGTACAGAACTGATTGCTATAATATTTTCAATTAAAATGTAACAAGAGCGCCAACTGATGATTTTATCATAAGTAGTTAGTCTCCATTTTAAAGTCTCAAATTCTGGAGTCAGCTGTTTGCTTTGCAACCTTTTCATTTTACATGGTCATTTATAGAAGAGAATCTAGTCGTTGTAGTATTATTTTAAGCCCATCTTGGAATTTTTGAAATGGAGGTTGGACAATACTACACATTCTAGTACAATAAAAAGCAAATGACACTAAGATATTTTATACACACCAAAACTATTGGTATTCCTCCTCTTTTGGGGCCAGGAAGGAGAGACCTTTCCCCTTGTATTTTTTTCCCCTTACTGTTCCAGAGCCAACCATAGGAGCCAACTTCCTTTCTGCAGTTTTCCTAGCCCTAATACAGGAATCAGCTGACCCATGGGCAGCTGGGTCTGATAATGGATCAGGATAGGCTGGCTGACTCCAAGGCCCCTGTCCCTTAAACAACTTTTCTAAGAAGTGTTATATGGCTAAAATGAGAGAGGTCTGCATAAGGGAAGGTCTGTCCCTTTAAGTGCCAAGAATTTGATATTATATAATAAAAGAAAAGCAACTATTATTGTACTCTATCAATACTAGGGGTAGCAATATACATGCCTGACTGTGTTTGTTTTATATAGGGTTGACCATACAGCCGTCTTCTAAAATTACACTGCTTAAGTAGATTAAGCATCATATTCTGTAAAGCACTAAGCACGTTATTCATATGCAATATATATTATTTGAGTCCTATAGTCACAGTATTGACCACATTTAAATGTACAAGATACTTATGTTCTATGTACCTGCTTTCTGAAGTCCCCATGTTTCTGAGGTCGTAACTTATCCAACCAATCTGCTCGAGCTTCATCAAAATAGTTCTGGACTCGGGATTTTAGGTATTCATACTGCCAAATAGCAGCTGATCCAAATGCACAGCCTGTAAACTATGCAATAATAGATGCATTCAAAACCAAAGTCTAATATGGAAAACAAATCCTTATACAATTTAAGGTAAAAGTTATAGCATATGTTCCTACTGTACTTACACATTAATACCATTAAAACATTCAAAAAAGAAGGTTTGCACTGAATTACATTAATTGTGTTACGCTATTTAATAAGAGCCTTCTTTTATGGTTATTTTTGTCAGACATTTCACGTTATTGCCTAACTTCCAGTTTGTGGCAGGATTAGACAATACTGTGCTGCAAAAAACAAAGATTCATGCTAGCATGTTGTAAAATATTGAATCGATGTGCTATACCCTCTGCTCCTATCCATTTGCTAGGAGAAGTCTTCATTCCCTTTTTTCTGGCTAGAGGGACAAAAGAAACAGGTACCAGAGGATGAGACACAGACTGATTTGCAACAAGGAAGGAATTCTGACCTTCAAGGATGATTCAGAAAGTACAGAATATTTGCAAGCAGCTAGTTTAATTTCAGACTAATTTATAAATAAAAATTAATGGAGATTGTCTATCTCCTAGAACTGGAAGGGACCTTGAAAGGTCATTGAGTCAAGTCCAGTCCCCCACCTTCACAGCAGGACCAAGTACCATCCCTGACAAATTTCTGCCCCAAATCCCTAAATGGCCTCTGCAAGGATTGAACGCACAACCCTCGGTTTAGCAGGCCAATGTCAAACCACTGAGCTATCCCTCCCCCCTACATTTTTAACTTTACTCAGGAGAGGGAGAAGTACTGGCAATACTAAGGAATCAATAAGAAGTTAGCTGCATAATATTTGTGTGGGAAACATATTCAAGAATAATCTTTCCTTGTGAAAGAGCAGGCAGGTAGCTTAGGACTGGCAAGAAAGACACTGAGCAGCTTACAAAAGTACAGGACTATTTAAGCAGTCATTTCTGGACTAATGGGGTAATAACTTAGTTATGCTTCTCCTGGAAGAAATCCACCAAGCCCACTACAGACAACGAGTTAAAATAGAAAGGAAAGCATGTTCTGAGAAAAAAGTTTTTAAAAGTTAGAAGGTACCTGCATGGTGACAGAATACAGTCTCATGCAATAAACTTCTGTGATTATATAGTATTTTTTGTAATGGAATACTCTTGCTTATCATGCACAAACTCTAGTGCAGTCACCTGTACAAGAAAATCCGCATCAATGCTACTTGTAATACATGTAACATGCTGACACATTTACCCCAATAGTAAAAAAGAACGGCTTCACAAGATGTTTCAGAGAAGGGGAAGAAGTATAAAAGACTGTTTCCTTTACTGGAGGAGACAGACTGCTTCTGTATGTTTTGGAGCCAGTTTCTTTGTCTGGTTTTCGAGCTTCAGTCTTTTGTGGTACTTTTCTGAATCCATGTCTTTGCTGTGTATATAAAGTAAATCTGGGGAAAAGAAGAAACGTGTACCACATTCAAAGTCAAAGTTGGCTCAATCTATATGCTATCTCTATTTAAACCCAGATCATATTATCTAGACATTACCAAAACTTCATAGGTGGCAAGGGAGGAGGAAGCAATTCTCAGATTGTGGAGATGAATCATCTCATTTCTTTACACAACGGTATAAAGATGAGTTCTCCACCTGCCTGCTACAGAATTTCCTTGTTTCAGGATTTACCTGGCCCCTCACAAAATGAGGAAGATAATTTGTGTTTCAGTTTCTCTCATGTCCATGACAGCTTGCACAAAGATATGAAAATACTACCATTGTTTTACCAGTTCATTGCCCATGTTTGGGCAGAAGCCTGTTTCAGGCCTGGGAATGGCAGGTAGGTTTCTGTTACTTCATGTGTAATCCTTCCTGATAGGAATGTAAATTCCCATTAAAAATGTTAACCAGTTAAACAATTTAATTGTATTCATTAAACTGGTTAACCAGGGGCTACTACAGCTATGATCCTGCGGCGGGGCCTACTTCACGGCAGCAGGTTCTGCCACTAGGAGTTCTGTTCAGCCCGTGCTACTGCTGTCAAGTGTCCTGCCAGCTGGCCCCACTGTGGGCAGGGGCTGCTCTGACTACCCAGCCCTCTGGTTAGCCAGTTTTAATGGGTCACCCTGGTAAACATACTGGTAATGCTTAGTAGTGATAGAAATGTAGCCCTGTTAGTCTGGGGTAGCTGAAGCAAAATGCAGGACAATGTAGCACTTTAAAGACTAACAAGATGGTTTATTAGGGATGTGAAGGAGGAGTTGACTAGACAATTCATTGATAGGCCTAAGCTTACTGGTTAATCGAGTCAACTACTCACATATGTTCACCCCTTGCTGCCTGGGTATCAGAGGTGGCTGCAGCGGGGGAAGGGAGCAGGACCTAGTTTAAAAGCTGGTTCCCCCAAGAACAGCAGTGCAGTGCCGCCTGTCCCTCCCCCACTACTTCCTCTCCGGAGGGGGGGCTGCTGGGAGTAGCCTCTCCCAGAAGAGCTCAGCCCCGCTGCAGACAGAGGGAGGCAGGGCGCCCCCAGGAGGGGGG